TATAAACTTTTCGCAGAGCTGAAAACCTAAGGAGTTGTCATGAGCAGAAACTCTGATATAGGAATGAAATCTAAACCATATAAAGTGATAAAGATCTATTTTGTAGTGATTTTTTTCAGATATAGCAATACCTATATTGACAACACCTAGTTGCAGATCCAAAATTGTCCTTTAGGAAAAGGTGGACTCTTATCAGAGAGCTACAAAATAGTAGAAATGATAATTTTGACAATGATAAATATCCTTAGTAGAGATGCGTCCTCTTGCAGAAGAGTAGCTAAATAGTAAGAATTGTTGATACAAGAAAATAAGACCAAATAATTTAATAGTGTGTGACGTTTCTGTAACAGCATTGTTACCATCAACAGTCAAAAAGAATAAATGTTATTCTTTTGTCTGATAATGATGTAACAATGCTGTTACTGAAACGTCACACACTATTAAATTATTTAGATTAGGTCTTATTTTCTAGTATCTATAATCCAAATTGTCATGGAATTTGTGTAATCTTTACACAAGGGGATGAGAAACAACAACAACATAATCTAAATTGTGCTCTATCAGTAAAAATGGTAATTATAGTGATGGCAACTGTCCCTTGTAGAGATGTGTCCTCTTATGAAGTATGTTCTACTGTATTTGAGACTACTGTGTGATATAAATGGGACCAGAAATCTCAGTACCAATTACAATGACCCACCTCTCTCCTCCACTCTCTTGAAGAGCTGATGCTCTCCCCACTTGAGGACGGCCTGCCAGACCTCCATCTCTCCAGCCTGAACACACACACTATTGGTATAAGGAATTTTTGATGTTTCTTTTATAAATAAATTCTACTGCCCTTACTGCAATGCTATATTAATGGGAGGGCCCAGTTTAAATCTACCATACTGCTGTAATATTGTATTACTCCCCTTTATACTGATACTGACCTCCTTGGAAAAGGTGTTTTAAATGAACTTTGAGGACAGTAGAAATACATATAATGATAAATATATAACACTAGCCAAATGACCCGGGCAACGCCCGTGTTTTACCCGATTGAATGTTTTGATTCAAATACTATTTGTTACAATTATAAATTGGCGCCTTAAATAATTGCATATGTTAGTTAATAACTATAGCCTATGTGCTTTATCTGTCTATGTACTGTTGGCTTCCGTAGGCGTCTCTTACTGGGAAAAAGAAAGAGAGGATTCCATTTGGTTATTATCTAATATATGCATTTATTTAGGGAGCGACACGCTCCAACACAATAGTTACAAAGACGAAATAGCGAGTGGGGGGGGGGGGTCATGATGGTGGGGCAAAGGTGGCGTGATCGTAGCCAACCAATAGGAGGGCGCCATTCCAAAAAAAAAGAAAACGGTGACAGAGGTGAAAAATTATTAAGAGATGAAGAACGCATGACGCTCGTAACTGTATATAGAATGCTTTGATGGCCTCAAGGAGGCCAAGAGCTCCAGACTTTTACCAGAGAGTCTGCTAGCTCATTTCCAGGAATTCCAACATGAGATGGAAGCCATTGCACTGTGACTGAGCTGTTGGCTGGGATATATCATGGTCTATATCACAGATGTACTCTGAACAAGTGAAAATAACAACAAGGTAATAAGACCTAATCCAAATAAATAAATAGTGTGTGACGTTTCAGTAACAGAGTTGTTACCAGCATTGTACTGAATCAGAAAAAATTCACATCATGTTTTAAATAGTTACTGTTATCAAGTGTGTAAAAACAAGATAGCAGATAAGTAGGAGATAGTTTTCTATAGCTTCTAAAATATTATTTTTAGAATTAGATGTGGAAAAAAAAAAAAACTCATTTTCTGGTCATATTACCTTGTGTTTATAATCTATAATCCACAAATTGTGCCTTATCAAGTGAAAATAATAATAAAATAATTATAAGTAATATATTTGTCAAAATACAAGCCAGTTATCAAACCAACATCAGCCAGCTCTGTACAGAAGGTTTCTCTGGGTGTTTACTTGTGGCTTATTTATGTGACACCAAGCTACTTCTGAAGCAAGAGACCAAATTAATTTGGTTTGCAAAATGGATATTTGGCAAAATGACATATCAGCTCGTACAAGAGAGAGTATAGAAACTATAAAAATAAAGAATGATTTTTTTTGAAGATTGAAAACTATACTAGTCTCCCATGAAAGACCGCCCAAAAAACACAGCAAGCCCGGTCTCTCTAGGAGTGGGTCTCTCATCAGAGACTCAGTGATGATAAGTTATGATAGATTCTTACAACACAAAAATTGGTGTTTTACATTACCATATATGTAACATACATAGATTTGATAAGCAAATCTTCTATGGAAAACACCATTTTGCAGGTTGGCTCTATAATATAGTTAAAATGATTTACTTCAACAACTTTTTTTTATAAAATAAAAGGATTTAAATGCGCGAATGTTTCTTTTATACATAAAACGAACTTCTACTGTCCTTACTGCGATGAAAAAATATATTGGGAGGGCTTGGCTCATCAGTGGTGAACCCTCCCAGGGTGAAAACCATTTCTAAGATTCCATCCTTCAGTGTAGCATATAAAAGCAGATTGATCCAATACAGTATTAGAGCTCTGAGAAGCGGTCTGGTGGATTAAATTGGCGAAACCGCTGGGAGGGTTCACCACTGATGAGCCAAGCCCTCCCAATATATTTTTTCATCGCAGTAAGGACAGTAGAAGTTCGTTTTATGTATAAAAGAAACATTCGCGCTTTTAAATCCTTTTATTTTATATGTATAGATGGCGCGTTATTGCTTTGTGTTAACTTTTTTTATATTGCATTCCAAACACAAGGTAATAAGACCAAATCCAAATAAATAAATAGCGTGTGACGTTTCTGTAACAGCATTGTTACCATCTTCAGGCAAAAGTACTAAATGAGAAATTTTACCACAGCATGTTTTAAATAGTTACTGTTATCAAGTGTGTAAACAAGATAACAGATAAGAAGAAGATAGTTATCTGAGAAAGTGTTTTTTTTTCCACTTTTAATTCTAAGAATAATATTCTGTGTTTCTCAGATAACTATCTTCTTCTTATCTGTTATCTTGTTTACACATTTGATAACAGTAACTATTTAAAACATGCTGTGGTAAAATTTCTCATTCAGTACTTTTGTCTGAAGATGGTAACAATGCTGAAATGTCACACACTATTTATTTATTTGGATTTGGCCTTATTACCTTGTGTTTATTTGTTGAAGTAAATCATTTTCATAACCGATTATAATTGATTACAAGATTTATGGACAGGAAAGCAAGTTAAATAAAAGCTTTTAAAAATGGTAATTTGGTGATGGAACTGTCGTATGTAGAGAGGTTCCTAGAGACAGTGAAGTGTACCTGGAGGAAGTCAGATGTGATGACCTCCGCCAGCTGGTCCTGAGTGAGCTGGTACAGGGCGGGGGAGGCCGCCACAGCTGAGAATTCCTCCCGGATGAAGTGCACAGCCTGGCGATGGACCCACTGGGAGCCGTGTGGCTGGCAGCTCCACTGGAGCACTGACACCAGTGTATCCAGGCTCAACGACTCCGCGATGAAGTCCTCGCACACTGCAGCACAGACATGGGAGGTCAGTCAGAGCAGCGCTCACACATGTGCATGGCTCATCTAACTGGACACTACCTCCGTTCATTGTAAACAACATTTTATATCATCTAGAGTACACATGATGGTCCTGGAGTCCTCCTCTACATGGAGAGAAGCAGCACAAGTAAGGGACTGCCCTGTAGTACGGTGTCGTGAGCCGCTACGGTAACCGTGAACAGGGAACTCTGAAATGTGGCTGACTAACGGGGCACCCCCTTTCCATGGAGCAACAGGACACAACACATGATGGTAGGCTAGTCCATGTAGTGACAAATAGCAGCTGTTGGGTTTCTTACAATTACTGGACTGTGGGGGAACCAAACACTTTAGTATTCTTCTCTAAAAGGTGCTTCCTGGGAGTGAATGGAGGAACTGTTGAATTCCAACAATCCAGGATCATATCCCATATTGAGCACATTTATGGACTTCAAATGGTCCTTATGCTACCTACAGTGTATATTGATATATATTACTACAGTTGAAAGCATTTTTTTTTTTTACAAAGAGGAAATTGATCTAAAAAAGCATTGGGCACCTCTCCCATTAAATTAAACGTCAAAACTAGACCCTATCTATTGACCGTCGCCGCAAACTAGCGGCCTCAGGATGGTGACAAAGCCACAACACCAGCTTCGGCAAACTGAAAAGTGTCCACCTAGAGACCATGGTTTTGGGCTAATGGCCCTCATCAGTCTAAGGCCATTAAACTGAAACCATTCTTTTTTTAGATCAATGGTCCGTGTTATGATTCTAGAAGATACGGCAACAACTATCAAATCCAAAATTTTACTGTAGTGGTAAACAAGCTCTGTCTAACTCTTACAATTTTCTTTGTTTTACAGATGTGCAGAATCTTTTCGGCCAGCTAGCTAAATTATATTGGAATATTGTTGTGTTTCAACAAGTAGCCGACCAATGGTACACGGGAACAGTAAAAATTATTCAATTTTAGTTTATTTCAATAAATTATTTGATCAGGAGAAACGGCACCACAGAGATGACGGGTATAAATTGTATTTGACCATTGACCACCGTTTCGCGGCAATGCGTTAAATACAATGTGCCCGTTATCGTTTACCCTTCGTCTATTTTTGGATTTTTAACCCGGTGATTAGAATGTACAGTTAGAGCTCCATCTCCTCCTACAACAGTGAGAACATAATGACCTTCCTGGACTGGACTGGACCACAGTACTGCACCAAATAAACCTTCTGAGCATCACATCCCTGTCTTTGTCTCATCAATATATGGTAGCAAAATATTTATTTTATGAATAGATTATTAATTTTAATAAATATATACTAGCGCCAAATGACCCAGGCAACGCCCGTGTTTTACCCGATTGAATGTTTTGATTCAAATACTATTTGTTACAATTATAAATTGTGGTCATGTGGCCTAGTGGTCATGGCATCCACCCGGTAAGCGGAAGGTCGTGGGTTCGATTCCCATCCCTTGACACTTTTTTTATTTTATCCATTCTGACCAAAATCTATCCGTGAACTTCACACAGACAGAATAAGGCAATTATATAAGTAGATTGCTACTCTGTATATTCCCCATGTTGCTTCTCTTGTATTTTATAAATTTTAGTTTGTACTTGTGCCTTAAATAAATTGCTGTGTCAACCTAGAGTTTGTACTTGTACCTTAAATAAATTGCTGTGTCAACCTGAAGTTTGTACTTGTGCCTTAAATAAATTGCTGTGTCAACCTGAAGTTTGTACTTGTGCCTTAAATAAATTGCTGTGTCAACCTAGAGTTTGTACTTGTGCCTTAAATAAATTTCTGTGTCAACCTAGAGTTTGTACTTGTACCTTAAATAAATTGCTGTGTCAACCTGAAGTTTGTACTTGTGCCTTAAATAAATTGCTGTGTCAACCTGAAGTTTGTACTTGTGCCTTAAATAAATTGCTGTGTCAACCTGAAGTTTGTACTTGTGCCTTAAATAAATTGCTGTGTCATCCTGAAGTTTGTACTTGTGCCTTAAATAAATTGCTGTGTCAACCTGAAGTTTGTACTTGTGCCTTAAATAAATTGCTGTGTCAACCTGAAGTTTGTACTTGTGCCTTAAATAAATTGCTGTGTCAACCTGAAGTTTGTACTTGTGCCTTAAATAAATTGCTGTGTCAACCTGAAGTTTGTCTTTCCTCATTTTCTATGTGACAATATATAAGATAGGATCAAAAAGTTCCCAAACTTTTTTTAAAATTAATTATTTATTAATTAAGGACCCTTTAACTCTGCAATTAGATGTTGTCCTTTACAGGGAGGTTCTACTGTAGCAACTCTCTGGTAAGAGGACACCTCTGCCTAAAGGACACTTTGGCTCGGCAATTAGGTGTCCTTTACAGGGAGGTTCTACTGTGGCAACTCTCTGGTAAGAGGACACCTCTGCCTAAAGGACACTTTGGCTCTGAAATTAGGTGTTGTCCTTTACAGAGAGGTTCTACTGTAGCAACACTCCAGTAAGAGGACACCTCTCCCTAAAAAACACTTTGGCTCTGCAATTAGATGTTGTCCTTTACAGGGAGGTTCTACTGTAGCAACTCTCTGGTAAGAGGACACCTCTCCCTAAAGGACACTTTGGCTCTGCAATTAGGTATCCTTTACAGGGAGGTTCTACTGTAGCAACTCTCCGGTAAGAGGACATCTGTCCCTAAAGGACACTTTGTCTCTGTAATTAGGTGTCCTTTACAGGGAGGCTCTACTGTAGCAACTCTCTGGTAAAAGGACACCTCTCCCTAAAGGACACTTTGTCTCTGTAATTAGTGTGTTTTTTCAGTTTTATTTATGAATTATTTCAATATTGGAATTGTTACATTCTATATTTATACTACATGTTAGGTGTCCTTTATAGGGAGGTTCTACTGTGGCAACTCTCTGGTAAGAGGACACCTCTCCCTAAAGGACACTTTGGCTCTGAAATTAGGTGTTGTCCTTTACAGGGAGGTTCTACTGTAGCAACACTCCAGTAAGAGGACACCTCTCCCTAAAAAACACTTTGGCTCTGCAATGTGTTTTTTCAGTTTTATTTATGAATTATTTCAATATTGGAATTGTTACATTCTATATTTATACTACATGGATTTCCTTTATTGTGATGGAAAATTTTAGCCGCCTGGAAGTAGTTCAAATATTATGTCAACATATTTTTATTACGACTGTATGAAAAAGTGAAAGTTGTATAAGCTTATGATTTTTCTTTGTTTTAAAAATGAATCGATGTTGGTTCCATATGCTTGAATTGAATATTACACCTTAGTTCTATATATATTTTATTGCTTAAAAAGGAACACAACAAAACAAAAAATAAACTACAATTGCAAAATGATTTGATAACTAACTAAGAAAAAAAAAATAAAAAACAATATTTAAAATGATGATGATAAAAAAATGAATATGTCTGCCGGAAAAATGCACCTATGAATTAAAAAATAATTACAAACTTAACGTATAAACTCAAACAAAGACTCTTTTAACAGGTCAATTATTCCCGAAATTCTCTAAAGTAAATACTCTGTTATCTAGCTTAAACATGGCTGTTGTTCGAGACCTGTTTGCTGAGTGAGCTACTGCTTAAGGAAATGTTGTTTGTCCCTAGTGCACAACATGAGAAAAATATTGGTGGGATCTTAATAAATAAACAAACATGGTAGCAGAGATGATGAGGCACAATTTGGATTATAGATTATAAACACAAGGTAATAAGACCAAATCCAAATAAATAAATAGTGTGGGACATTTCAGTAACAGCGTTGTTACCATCTTCAGACAAAAAGTACTGAATGAGAAATTTTACCACAGCATGTTTTAAATAGTTACTGTTTATCACTACTGTGTTTATCAGAAAACTATCTTCTTATCTCCTATCTTGTTTGAACACTTGATAACAGTAACTATTTAAAACATGCTGTGGTAAAATTTCTCATTGACTACTTTTGTCTGAAGATGGTAACAACGCTGTCACACACTATTTATTTATTTGGTGTTATTACCTTGTGTTAATGGTAGCAGAGAGATCTTTCTGTGATTGGATGGTAGTGGGTGTCACACTTTAATGGGTCAGTTTGATAATCTAATAGAATATGGTCTGAAGAAATTCACTCTTTCATGGACAAAACTTGAAGAAGTTTTGATATCGCCGGTTGTCTATTTTTTTTTTTAAGATGACAGAGACAATTTTATTCACACATGGTTATCTTGTGTGTCTTCACAATAAAGGTCACTGTAATATCTTTCAGAATTATTGTCTGAATCTCGATATATATGCTAAAAGATACAACTTCCTCAAGTTTTGTCCATGAGTGTAATATTGTCTGAATCCCGATATACGACCTCCTTAAGATTTGTCCATGAGTGTAGGTAGGAGCTGTGCAGAGACTGTATGGTCTATGCTGGTGGTTCTATGTTGACATATTGATGACCTTGGTATGTTCTTCTACTCTTATGGACCTTACTGCAGGCTGGAATACAATCACAACCTGCAATAACTGGATAACTGGCAGGGTTACTTCTGTAATCCTATAATATAATACAGCAGAACCTCCCTGTAAAGGACAACACCTAATTGCAGAGCTAAAGTGTCCTTTAAGGAGAGGTGTCCTCTTACTGGAGAGTTACTAAATAGTAAAAATGGAAAACTGTCCTTTGTAGAGAGGTATTTGCTAGCAGGGTGTCTGCTAAAGGGAGGTTCTACTGTAATAAGATTTTTAAACCCAGGGCAGCGTTAATGGATTAGGAGCTAGCCGTTATCTTATTGAATAAAGAAACTTGTTGCTAACCTTTCTCCTCATTTTGTTTTAATTAGGCAAGATGTGATCTACACCATGCTGTGGCAATAATGAGTACTTACTATGCACCAGCACATCCAGCTCTATGAACCTGGCCACCTCATAGAGGTGCATGGCCTCGTCCACCAGGGTCTTCTGCGGCCCGCCACCTTCCGGAGGTACTCCCTTCTTGGAGGCCTCCAGCAGCAGGGCTGAGAAGTCAAAGGTGTCCTGGTACACCGCATGGAGAAGAATCCTGGCGAACCGTCTGGGAATGATGGACTCATCCAACACCACTCGAGTCCGGCAGGGCTCTTGCATGTCGATGGACCGCCTCTGCTGCCGCCGGATCACATTGCGGAAGAAGGGGGACCTCGCCGACAGAATGGCTCGGTGGCACCAGTACTCCGCCTCCCCGTGGCATACCTTGCACGTCTTCCCCTCCGCCTCCGGTGGAAGGTGGTCGCACACCACACTGGGCGTGCCATCCGCAGCGCGGCCAAACAAACCTCCTGCAGGAGTCCTCGATGTGAAGGTCAAGGAAATGTCGCTGTACATCCCCGTCTCCAACAAGTACCGCAGATCCTGCTGCAGGGGATTGGGGATGCCAAACTGCTCACTCAGCTGGAAGAGAATGTCTAGACTGCCCTCGTACTGCTCTGCCACGGAGAGGTCCCCGGTGTAGAGGTACCTCAGGAGTTCGTTGAACATGGACACGCTGACTCCAGCGATGTCAATGTCCACAGCTACCTCGGTGCAGAGAGAGGAGAGGCTGTTCAAGAGTTCTCGGAAGAAAGGGCACCGGGCAGCCAGAACTGCCCTGTGGACGGGGAACACAGTACCCTGGTAGATGAGGTTGATGTCTGAGCAATATTTGTATTCAAACAGGGTGCCGAGGTCCTGCTTACAGGCATTGGCTGCGGGCCGGGCAAGATCGGCCGCCACTGCCAGCTCCTTGAGCGCCATCAAGGCCTCGTACTCCTCCACAAGAGTGATCACATCCCTGGGACTCCAGTCTGCCAGGAAATCCCTAAATATCTGGGCATGGTCATAGTTCTTGCTGATGCGCCGCCGGCGGGTCAACCGCTTGCGTAAGGTGGAGAGGGAGGCACCTTTCTTTTTCTTCTCCTTCCCAAACTGGTCCACAGTAGAGGAGGAGAAGGTAGCGAAGACATTCTGGGTGTGTAGGGGCGGGTAGAAGTCCGACGTCTGGCCTCCGCTCAGTGAGGGGGAGGATGCACTGGCCCCCATGTCCTGCCTAGCTGCTACTGGCCCCCATCACACCTCCTGCTGCACACACATCTCCTGTCTGCCATACAGTCAACTCTCTACATAATGAAGATCAGGAGGGACTACAGAGCTGGTGGAAGTACCTAGAACTTCCTGGTGACCAACACATTCTCTCCATAATACAAAGCAATAATGCGCCATCTATATACAGTTAAACCTGTCTATAGCACCCCCTCTAAATGGCACATTCCTCTCTATAGCACCCAATTTTAAATAGTACGATGCGATTTACATTAAAAGTGACCTGTCTATAGCACCCCCTCTCTATAGCACCCTATTTTGGTGAGTCCCAAGAAGGGTCTTGCCAAGACAGGTTTAACTGTATAACTAAATGAAGACATTGATAAACCACAATTTTTTTTTTTTTTGCTTATCCCTAGTACATGTGGTACAGGCCATGAT